CAAGGGATAACTAGGGACAGGGCAGTATAAAATACTGGGCAGTGACAGTAGACAAGGGATAACTAGGGACAGGGCAGTATAAAATACAGGGCAGTGACAGTAGACAAGGGATAACTAGGGACAGGACAGTATAAAATGCTGGGCAGTGATAGCAGACAAGGGATAACTAGGGACAGGGCAGTATATGATACTGTGCAGTGACAGCAGGCAAGGGATAACTAGGGACAGGGCAGTATATGATACTGTGCAGTGACAGTAGACAAGGGATAACTAGGGACAGGGCAGTATATGATACTGTGCAGTGACAGCAGGCAAGGGATAACTAGGGACAGGGCAGTATAAAATACTGGGCAGTGACAGCAGGCAAGGGATAACTAGGGACAGGGCAATGTAAAATACTGGGTAGAAAAATGCAAAGGAAAAGATTGAAAAAGAGGTATATTCCCACCCAGTTAAGAGCAATAGCCATGTTAATTAAAGAGTTCATTAAAGATTTCGCTTTGAAGTTTGTCTGCAGATAACCAATGAATACATATAGCCTGTACCAACCTGATTTGCTTTTTAACCAAGTGATGTTTTCCCTTGTGGTAGGATTTCCTGCATAGATTTAATTCTTACTAAATGAGCTTTGTGCTCTCTAAGTGTTTAGTCTTGGAAAAACTGAAGTTCTTTTCTCTTTTGATTGACAGCTTGTTAATTTCACAAAGGATTCTGTGTGGGAGCCATGCTTCCTGGAAGTCATTGAACTTTTCATTGATTCCTTCTCACTTGTTCCATGAAGCAACTCATGGTGTTTACTCCTTACACACATACCATTAAGACACACATGACTGAGAATTTATTAATGATGATTAAGATTCACTTCACTCATGCCTATTATATCACAGCCATTTGGAGTTATTCTCAGCTCTCTTGATCGTTTTTGTATTAAATGAATTGGTGCCTTTGTGCCTATAATTAAAGAGGTTATAATGGATGGTGTTCAAAAATAGACATTAACACTGTGTTTAACAA